GCAGACGCTGCGAGTACCACTCACGGAGCTGCTGAGGGGCGGGAACGTCGCGAGAGCGCTGCTGCTGCTGCTGCTGCTGCTGCTGCTGCTTGCGCTGACCACCCCCAGTGCCGCTCCTCTGGGACGAGCCACTCCTACCACCTCCACCACCGCTACCCCCGCCTCCGCCGCCACCGCCGCCACCGCCACCCTCGCCCCCGCCGCTCCCACTGCCTCCTCCGCCACCACCTCCGCCGCCACCTCCGCCTCCACCGCCGCCACCAGGACCTCCACCCCCGCCTCCACCCCCACCGCCACCCCCACTCCCCCCGCCGCCCCCACCTCCTCCGCCACCGCCCCCGCTAGCTCCACCCGCTCCCTTGCCCCCCTTGCTCCTGCCAGAGCGGCGCCTACCGCTGGGGGCAGACGCCGCACCGACCGACTCTAAACCAACGAGGTCGGCCGCAGCAGCAGAGGCGACAGAGGGTAGCAGGGGGGAAGGAGAACACCCCTCAAAGATGGGGGTGCGCGGGTCACCACGAGAGGCCCCTACAGCGACTATGCTCTTCTCGGCCGCTAGAAGGGACTTCTCGAGGAGGTCGACAGTGAGGGTGGTAGGACAGACAGAGAGAAACTGGTCCCTAACAGCACAAAGGGACTCAGGGAGACGGGTGACTAGAAAGTAGAGGGTGATGTACATGGGAGGGGGGTTTTCAGCGAGGAAGGCAGCAGGAAGCGCAGCTCGGTAGCGAGTGTCACTAGCGCGAAGGTGGGTAAAGAGGTCAGTGACTGTGGGAAAGGCAGCAAGGTCAGGGAAGAGGTACGGTAGCATGAGACGGCTCAGTGTAGCAGTGGAAGGGGAGGAGTAGCGCGCAACTACAGCGTCGTACAAGGCCTGAGCGGTCTTGCACTGACTAAAGTGTGCACGCTCGGAGGAAGGGAGGTGGCGACGCACAGCAAGACGTGCAGCAGCATCGCGTGTGGCCCACTTGGAGCGAACAGTGGGGTCAGCATCAGTAGGAGGGGCAGGGACAGCGCCAGAGACAAAGTCAAAGAGAGAAACCTCATCGATCGCATCGCACAGTAAGTACAGCTGCAGGTCCTCAATCCAGACGGCAAAGTCAATGGCGCGACCCTCAGCGTCAAAAGTCAGGACACTGGGGGTGGCCATTGTAGCAGCTAACAGTCTCACCGGGCAGGAAGAGTCGGGTAGCAGAACGACACAGCAACACGGCAGCACAGCAGCTGCGCCGGCCCAGGAGCCCCACAGGAGCAGAAGATCGGCTCCTCGGGCGGCTCGGACGGCTCGGGCGGCTCGGGCGGCTCGGGCGGCTCGGGCGGCTCGGGCGGCTCAGGCGGCTCGAGCGGCTCGGGCGGCTCGGGCGGCGTGGGCGGCTCGGGCGGCTCGGGCGGCGTGGGCGTCTCGCGGGCAGCTCGCGGGCGGCTCACAGGCGGCAGCACGGGCGGCTAGTGCGGCTCGTGGACAGCTGCACGGGCGGCTGGTGCGGCTCGTGGACAGCTGCACGGGCGGCTGGAGCGGCGAGCGGGCGGCTCACGGGCGGCTGCACGGGCGGCCGAGGCGGCTCACAGGGCTGTTGGGGCGGCTCGCAGGCTGCTCACGGGCGGCTGCACTGGCGGCCGCACGGGTAGGTGCACGGGCGGGTGCACGGGCAGCCGCACGGGTAGGTGTACGGGCAGGTGCACGTGCGGGTACACGGGCGGGTGCACGGGCGGGCACACGGGCGGCTGCACGGGCTGCTCGTCGGGCGGCGCTAGGGCGGCGCGTGGGCGGCGCGTTGGGCAGCGCGACGGGCGGCGTTAGGGCGGGCAGCGGGCAGCGCGACGGGCGGCGCGTTGGGCAGCGCGACGGGCGGCGCTAGGGCGGCTGGACGGGCAGCGCGACGGGCTGCGCTAGGGCGGCGCGTTGGGCGGCGCGTCGGGCGGCGCTAGGCTGGCACGCCAACCGGCGCTAGGGCGGCGCTAGGGCAGCGCGTCGGGCAGCGCTGTGGGCGGCGCGTCAGGCGGCTAGCGCTAGAACAGGCTGCGGACGGGCGCTAGGGCGCTAGGGGCAGTGCTCACGTTCGAGGGCGGGCGGTGCGCTAGCGGCTAGGGCAGAAAAAAAAAAAAAAAAAAAAAAAAAAAAAAAAAAAAAGACGTTTCAAGGTGGTGGGCCCTTAGCACAGGTCCCACAGGGGAACCTGCTCGATACCATGTGAAGAAGTGAACGAGAATGAATAAACTATGAGTGAAGTGAGTACAAATATGAAACCCTAATTGGGTTGTACCCCCTATGGGATACCCCACTATAGCCTACACAAATAAGTAAGCTATGATGTTCTGACAAAACAATGTCAGAAATATCTGTGCATGAATGAGGAATGACTAGCAACAGGGAGATAAGAGTATGAAACCCTAACTAGGATTGTACTCTATACTGAGCATCTCATAGTAGCCTAGCAGAACTAAGAACATACAAATATGTTTTGAGAATGCCCTCGAACGAGTGCCCCACAAACACAAATTGTAGGCTCTTATCTAGGAAACTAGGTTGGGAGCCATGGAGGGAGTATCGAGTGAGTTTAGGCAATGAGAATCGAGATTGGCCAAAGAGGAGTGGACTATCGAGAACAACAAACAAGTACAAGCAAAGCAAAGCAAGAGAGGGTGCACTACTAAGTATGTAACTATACTACACCTATGTAGCAAGCAGGTTATATATGTTAGCCCAGGAGGTTATGGGCGCACTAGCCCGCATTTGGAACAAAGCCTTTTATCCCAGTGGTTTAATGATCGAGATTCTGACATGGTATTAGAGCAAAGGTCTTGGTTTTTGAATTCCCATGTACACACAAGCTGCCAAATGTAATGTGACGTGACTTAGACTTCCTTGTGCGGGGGGGGTGTCAATAGACATGCACGCGGAATTCCCGATTGATCCTAGGGGGAAGTTATGCGTATGTTAGCCTAGGGGGTTATGGGCGCACGGCCCCGCATTTAGAACAGGGCTCTTGCTAAGTATTTAGGTCGTCTAACATTTTTTCCCCCCTGTTAGTCTGACCATCATCTGAGGGATCTTGGGTGATCTGATTCTCAAATGAATAGTCTGATGAAACATATAAGAAGTTTCACTGTCGTGTCTATATAGTACAATCATTTCGAAATGTACGAGAGTTTTGGTGGCGGAATTTTGATTCCTGTATGGGGCTTGACAAATACCCCTTGTTTTTCCTTCGCGTATCAGATGGATTCATCTGCGCTGTCTGAAAACTCGTACAAAATATATGAACCGATCTAAAAAAACATCCGAGTATAAAACCATTGGCTAAGCTGTCATATCAGCCACAAATTCTTATATGTGGCTGATTTTCTTATTCAGTATGTACAGACACCATGTTTTTATCAAGGAGACTTCTTCAGTAAATACGGTCCTTTATTGTATTATAATAGCATTTGTTTATTACAACTAATTGAGGTTAATGTATTAGATAACGAAATTCAGATTATATATTTCTCCGTTTCTAATAGCACACAGGTAATACGAGATGGTAACATGTTTCAAGCAAGCCGATTTTCAGGTAGTACGCTAGTAGATTTCAGGTGCCACAGCCCTCCAGCTTGTGTCAACCTGCCACTGTGATTCGTGTCAGGTGAAACGCCTGGTCTCTGTAGTATGCGACTCGGCAGCAGGTGGACCCTGGTAAGGCCTTCTGGTGCCTGCGACACCTTCCACTTTGATCATGGCCGAATCGCGTAACATCTCCGTTTGTCACGGTGGGATACGAGCTGTTTGATAGCTGAGTTTTGAATCTGCAGGTTACATCTCGCCGAAAATGGTTTCTCGAATGTCCTTTGTCAAAATTCGACTGGACGGTCTCGATGTTACGATAGCCCCGATCATGCTTTCCTCGCTTGCCCGGATTCATTCGGCCCCTCAGGCCAGGCGAACTACCGAGACGCAAGTTCTGACCTGGGGCCTTGACAAGTGTTATCGGGTCAGTAGTCAACACGGCAGCAGACCCTGTGGTCGGGGATGCCAGGCATCACTTGTCTGGCTTCCTTGTGCTTTTCTGTTTGCTTCCCGCTTCGCATGTCGAACCCAGCGCGCCGCATCTCACCTGCTGGTTCTGTTCTTCATGCAGCGACACAACAGAAAACCGCAACCTCTGTTAGCTGAATCCACCGTATCAAAACTTTCCTAACCGCGTTCTTGCTACCAATTTTGCTGCTGCGGCTGCCACCCAACATCATTGGCTGGGCAACCTCCTGTCCCCCTGCCCAATCGCGTCATGTCCTTCCTCCCCAGTGTCTTGTCCGAACCAATCTCCCCTCCCCCTCTCCCCTTTTGCCTGATCAACCCACCTCCGTTATCACTTGGTCAAAACACCTTCATTCTTTTCTTCAGGAAAAATCACTTCTAGGTTTTCGTGAGTGGATAACAGCCGTGAGCCCAAGCAAGGGACATGAGGACTTACGGGCCTTAGTCGAATATACATTCTCAGCCTCTCGCGTGCTAGCATAATATACCGATAACACGTATTTAGAGAGAAAATACGACGAGGTTGGAACTCTGCGACGAGTGAGAGGGAGTGTGCGAGCCCACTGGCGCCTGGGAATAGCAGCGAATGATGGGGAATGGCCTATCCATAGGGCATACACGCGAGCACAGGTGGCAGATGGGTTCGCAGCTGCTTCAGCTGCAGGTTGCAGTCGCCGCCGCGCCGCTGCTGCTGTCGCTCCTTCCGCTGGGCCTAGCCGGTGCGCTCTTTCTCCCTTCTCCAGACCCTATTTCGTACTCTGTATTCCGTTTCTAGAGCGAATGAAGTCCCCCTCTAGTCGCCGGTTCGTGAAGTTACGCTCGTCCATTGCACATATTTCTCATACGCTGGCGGGCCATAGTTATCTTTCTGTAGAGTGAGTCTGTCCTTCGCGACATCGCTAGAATCGATAGACTGGATACCTGAGACTAAATCTGTTTCCGGCATGCCTTCCCATCGCCTTCCGCTGCTGTAAAATTTTCGCAGGCAGCCCGTCAAGACGAGAACTCGGCGAGGGTGGAGCATCGAGTAAGTCTGTCCTCCGAACCCATCCCACAGCATTCTTCTCCCTCGTGCCTCCGTTTGCTAGTTGCACTCGTCAGCTTGCGTTTCCCCTCGAGCTATCACCCTTTTCTATCCACGCCTTCGTCTTCCGCCCGCTCTAGCTTTACACATTTTCACATTTTTCTCTCTTCTATCCGTAATTTTTTTCTTACGTTATTCCTTTCCTTTGTCCTCTCCTTCTCGCCCCTCCGACTACTCTGCAGAGGACGAGCTTTTCGTCGCTGTTGTGGGCGGAGTGCTTCTGCTTCTCACGCTCGCCGTCCTCGTCGCCATCTTCCTATGGAAACCGTCGGGCAAAGGTACGCTTGTCGCGCATGGCACACGTCCGCGCAGGGCACACCCATCGCTCGTTTTTTTTGTTTGCATGTGAGAGGTGTTCTCTGCTCCAGATCCGAGCCGCTCGGAGGCTCTCATATTGATCGACCTACACCGTCACGTCATCATGTAACCCACGTCGGTTATACTCATCGTGTCACCTTTTTTCATTGTGCCCTTTACCTTGATACTTGCAGGAGGAAAGGCGGGGAAGGCAGGCATGTGGGCAAAGGGCGTCGACACTCCCAAGGGCTCGGCAGTTATTCGCCTGGGTTCGCAAAAGTACAACATGAGCTCGACTGAGGACGTCGCAGTGCCTTCGCTACCACTCAACGACCTTCAAGTTGCGACGAACGGTTTCAGCGAAGAGAGCGCGGTTGGCGATGTTGGCTACAGCACAGTCTACCGTGGTGAAGGCCCCAACGGCGAGGCGTGGGCTGTGAAGCGCGCCAAGCGCGTGTCTCTCGAAGGCTCGCACTTGTTCCGGAACGAGGTGAGCCAACCATGTGGTATATCCACAATTTCCTCGCTTATTCAATCAATTTGTTTATGATGTTCCTGGTTTCTATGCCGCAAGTATCGTCATTTTGTTTATCTATGTCGCCATTTTCTCGACTTTGTTCCCATCCCCGTTACAGGTTGACTTCCTATCGCAAGTGAACCACGAAAACATCGTTACACTCCTCGCATCGTGCGACGAAAACAACGAGCAGATCCTTGTCTTCGAATTTCTCCCCAACGGCCCCCTCTCCACCTGGCTGCGACCTCCCCCAGGTAAATCCCCGCTCTAGATCCACCAACCCATCCCAACCCATCCAGCTCCCGCTCCCACCGACTCCCCCGACTCTCTCCTCGCGTGCCTGCCCTTCCATTCTCCGCCACGCGCCTTAATCGTTCCCCATGCGCCCGCTTCCCTTCTCTCGCCCGCGCCCCCCGCCTTCCCTCTCCCCTCCCCCTACCCCTCTCCTCCCCCCCCCGCCCCTTCGCTCCCTCGTTCCCTCCCCCCCTCCCTCATCTCTGCACATGGTCCTCTTTCCAGTCAACCCAGCTCCCCATTCAGCCCAGCCCTCGCCGTTTCCCTTCCCCCACTTACCTTCTTCCCCTTCCCCCTTTTCCCCGTTCCCCCCTTTCCCCCCTCTCCTTTTCTCCCCTTCCTTCCTTCCCCTTTTCCCCGTTCCCCCTCTCCCCCCTCTCCCTTCTCCCCTTCCTTCCCCTTTTCCCCCCTTCCGCCCTGCCGCCCTTCCCCCGTTTTCCGCTTCCCCGCTTCCGTCCGCCCATTCTCCGCGCAGGCGACGAGCGCGCGCCGTTGTCGTTTGAGCAGCGGCTGGACATCGCGCTGGGCGTGGCGGAGGCGCTGCGGTACCTGCACTCGTTCACCAAACCCACCATCATTCACCGCGACGTTAAGAGCGACACTATCCTGCTCGACCAGTCCTTCAAGGTGCGCCTTGCGCCCTCCGCCCCTTCCGCCCCGCGCATCTCTCCGCGCATCTCTCCCGCGCTCCGCTCCACCCTCGCCGCGTCCCCGCTTCGTCCGCTCTGAGCTCTCCCACACTCCTTCCCCTCCAACCCCCCCTTCCACCCCCCCTATGCAACCCCCACCCCCCGCTCCCCCCCAAACCTCGCTGTCTCCGTCTTTCCTCGTCTTTTTTCCTCTCCTGACCTTCCCCTTCTCCCTTCCCTCTCCCCGTCCTCCCCACACCCCCCCTCCCCCGCACTCCCTCCCACCCCCCCCCCGCCCCTCTCCCCCCTTCCCCTCTCCCCCCCCCCCCCGCGCAGGTCAAGGTGGGCGGGCTGGGCCTCCTGAAGCATCTCCCAGGGGAAGCCATGCGGCTGCGCATGGCGCGCAAGAAGGGCTACCTCGACCCGGAGTACTTCCAGACCTTCAAGGTCACCACCAAGTGCGACGTCTACAGCTTCGGAGTCGTCATGCTCGAAATGCTCACCGGCCAGCCGCCTATTGTTCAGAACCCCTCGCGCCTACCGCCGTCTCCGCCCACGCCTGCTACGCCGAACTCGCCGGGAGCGGTGCCGGAGCCCCCCTGCCCTGCTCCCCCCATGACCTTGCCTCAGTGGGTGAGTAATCCTTTCCCGCTCCCAGGCTTCCTCCTTTTTCTTACCCTTGCTACTCCCTCCCCTTTCCCCTTCCCCTCCCTTTCTCCCCCACCCCGCCCTCTTCCCCCCTCTTGCCCCCCACCCCTCCACTTTTCTCTTTCCCTCCCGTTCCCACAACCCCCTCTTTTATCGTGCACCTCCGCTTTCGAGCAAGTCAAAAGCCTGTCGCCTTGCAATTCCTTCCGTCTTGCACTGTTTCTCCTTGGGAAAACCCATTCCACCTGCAACGTCTCATCCCGTGCTCTCCCTCTCCCCATCCCCTTCCTTCTCCCCCTCCCCTTCCTTCTCCCCCTCCCCCCTTCGCCGCCCTTCTCCCTCTCACCTCGCCCCCTCCCCTTTTCGCCCCCTCCCTCCCTCTCCCTCTTCCCAGGCCCTGCCGCTGATCCACGAGGGCAAGCTAGACGAGCTCGTGGACCCACGTCTCCCGGCCGACTACCCGCGCGACTCTTTCCTCTCCCTCGCGCGCATTGCTGCCGCATGCGTGGCTCCGCTGCGCAAGGACCGACCCGACATGCCCAAGGTGACGTTCCTGCTCGCGGAGCTCAAGAGGCCGGCTGCGTCCCGGTCTGTGGCGTTTGCGCGGTTCAATGCGGCCGGGCACAAGGTGGTGCCGACTGGCATGGCGCAATGAGGAGTGGCGAGAGGAGGAGTGGAGGAGGGAAGGAAGGGGGAGGGGGAGGGAGGAGGAGGAGAGAGGGAGGGATAGGAGTGGAAGGAGGGGAGGAGAGATGGTGAAGGGAACGAGAGGCAGTGTGCGTATCTCGTGCCTGTAGTTCCTCGCTCCTTGCCCAACTCTCCTGTTGCTCGCTCCTGAAGAACCACCAAGATGCACCACCACCACCACCACCACCACCTTTGTTAAACTGCTGCCACCACATGCAACAGGAATGGTGCTTATTCCCACATGGAACAGGCCCACCCATGGCTGACCACCGCTGCTGCCTACCACTGCTGCCTACTGCTGTTACCTGCTGCATGCTGCCTGCAGTACAAGCGTCACCAACCACTACCCGCCTCACTGTTGTGCACATCACCAACTTAAAGTTGTCCGGGTTATCTGATCAACATCAGCAACAACATCAGCGCCAACATCACCATCAAAATGAAATCATCACCCCAGCTTCAACATACTGTACTCGTCGTCGCAGCAAGAAGACCTTGTGTCCCCTTGGCCTCCTGCTAGAAGGACCTTGCTTCCCCCCTGCTGCTGTTGTAACCTAACTAAGGAATAGGCTGACCACTCCACTCTCCACCCCACTCCACCCTGCTTCCTGGTCTTCTCCTGGGTCCGTGCCGCATTTCTGCTGCTGCTGCTGGTACTGCACTGCCCCAGACTCTGTTCCATATGCTGGACCCCCTGTCTCTCTCGGGTTCTCTCTAGCAGATGCCTCATGCCTCATGGCTATCTGCCTCTCTGCCTCTCTGCCCCTCTGGATCTCTGGCACTCTCTCTGGAGGACTGTATTGTGATACTGGCTTTGTACTAGTGCTGGCTGGATGATACTTTGTCATGTGTTAATAAAGATCCATTTTGGTGAGTGACTTTCTAACAAGTGGGGTAGGAATGTGAAGCTGACCATGGTGGTTTTTGGAGTAGGACAATAGGGTAACTAAGAGCAAGTGCATTCGAAAGCTCAAATGTTGAGAAGAAGTGTGTCATTTAAACTAAAGTAGAAGAAACATCAATCAAGCCACACAAGCCACATTTAAACAACTGAAAGGGAAATTCAGTTTCAATACTAGTCGTTGCTTACCGCGCACCTTACCATTGTTGGGCTGAAAAACCCCCTTAAGTTCTTTGCAGGGGTGAACTCTGGGTAGAGTTGGTGTAGTAGCGGAAGCGTTAATTAAAGAGTTGTGAACCACCTTGCGCTAGTATGTGAGGGCAAAGTAAGTTGATTAAAACAAAGAGATACAAGCTTTTATAAGAGTACAAGGAATACGAAGAGATACAGATAAAAACCGTTTGATTACCGGTATTGCTGTTGCGGTTCGATACAGTGACGACTCGGGCAACTGCTCAATACCGAGTCAGTTGTTTGTCCTTGCTGTCGCACTGTACTTTCTCAGGTCAAAGGTCGCTGACCTTTGACTTTCGCGTAACCTCCAACAGTTACTTTCAACCTCCGAGGGTTGGCTCGCCGGTGATTCGTTATACTTCGTTTCTTTTGTGTCTTAGTGTTTCGACACGACAGAGGCGCTTAAGACCGATTGTTTCCAACACTCCCCTTCGCTTCTGGAGTGTCGCTGACGTGGCTCTGTCCAGTCAGCAACATGCAGTATTCGAACTTCTGCTTTCCGAGCTTCTTGGTCAGGTAGTCAGCTGCCATCTCAGACGTGGGACAGTATGACAGCTCGAGCCTTCCCTTCTCGATCTCGTCCTTCACGAAGAAATATCGCAGGGCGATGTGTTTCGTCCTGTTCGCGAAGCCGTTCTTGTTGGCGATGCGAATTGCTGACTGGTTGTTGCAGAATAGGGTAAAGTTGGGTAACTCGGCTAACTTCGCTTCTTCCCGCAGCTCGCGAAGATAGAGTCCTTCCTTGGTTGCTGAGCAGAGTGCAATATATTCTGATTCAGCTGACGAGAGAGCAATTAATTCCTGCTTGCTCGACTGCCAAGAGATAGGTCCGATAGGTTCGAGGCGGTAGATGTAGCCAGTGCGGGAGCGCCTATTGTCGGAGTCGCCAGCGTGATCAGCGTCGACGTAGCCGATTAACTTAGTCGGTGTGGTTGCGTTCTTGTAGTAAGTTAGGCCGATCGTTGGGGTGCTGACGAAGTAGTGAAGAGCGCGGTCGAGCTCCGCCAGATGTTCTGCTTCAGGCTTCTTGAGGTAGGTGGCGAGCTGCCTTGCAGAGTATGAGAGGTTGGGGCGACAGGTGATGGTTGCGAAGAAAAGACATCCCAACTTCTTCTGGTAGTCTCGTATGCCGGCGGGCTTGCGTAGAGCGGAGCTTCCTTTGTCGTTCCTTGCCGTGTAGCGGTATGGCGTGGAGATGGCTGTCGGTGTGAGCATAAAGCGTTTGGCGATGGTGTCGGCATATTTCTCGGCGCTGAGGTAGATCGCGTCCTCCTCTTCCCGGATGTTGAGGCCGAGGTATTGAGTGACGGTAGATGAAACTGTGAGCGTGAGATCTCGCTGCAGCTCCCCTTCGAACCAGGTAGTGATGCCGTCATTCGAGCCGATGTAAAGGAGATCATCCACGTAGACGATTAGTAGGATGTAGTCGTCGTTTTTTGTGAGCCGGTACATGCCTTGATCATGCGATAGTTGCTTGAAGCCGATGCGGATGAGGCGAGCGTGCAGGTACTGTTGCCACAGTCGCGGAGCCTGCTTGATGCCGTAGAGTGACTTGAGTAGCTGGCAGACTTGGTTGGGTTCTCTGTGGGAGCCGTGCGGTAGCTCGACAAAAATTTCTGCATCAACAGGTGCGTAGAGAAACGCGTTCGCAATGTCAATTTGTCGCAACTTCTTCTTCTTCATGGCGGCGATTGCGAGGAGAATGCGTAGTGTGGTGTGGCGGCTAAACGGAGCGAGAGTTTCGGTGAAGTCGCGTCCGTGTTCTTGGTCGAAGCCGCGTACAACCCAGCGAGCTTTAAATTTGTGAATGGTGCCGTCAGCCTTTGTCTTCACACGGAAGACCCACTTCCCGGTGAGCACTGTCTTGTTCCGTGCCACGCCGATAGGAACCACTTTCCACGTGTTGCGTTCCTCCAGTGCCTTCAGCTCCTTGTCCATGGCTTCGCGCCATTTTTCCTTATGCTCCCCCCCCAGAGCCTGTTGAGCCGTCGCAGGCTCTTTAGGACTGGCGGTGCCGTGGACTGCGGTGACGAGTCCGAGAATTTGCAGTCCACTCTGTGAGTAGCGGGGAAGATTTGCGTCTTCGGGATAAGCTGCTTCATCTCCCGCTTCTGGATCAGGTATGAAGTTGGGTCCTACTCGTTCTGCTTCGTTGGTGTTGACTGTCGCAGGTGTTACGTAACCGTTGTCGGCAAAATAGTAGAAGGTTTCGGTGTTGACACTTTCGCGAGGGTTATCTTCGTCCATGGGAACGTCCACGGAGCAGAACGGAAGAGGTCCGGCTTCTTCTGATGCGTTGTCCACATTCTGCTCGTCCCAGTCAGCTTCGTCCGTTGCTGAGGCGAAGGCTCGGTCACCGCGAAAACCACCTGTGGGATCCTAGTCTTCTTGCAGGTTAGCAAGGTATGTCTGGAGCGTGAGTCGTTCGTAGAAAATTACATCACGTGCTGCTACTATTTCCTTGGAATGGACGTCGAAGATTTTCCACGCGTTGTAGTTCTTTTCGATCCCGAGGTGTAGTCCCCACTGTGCTCGTTGAGAAAATCGGCCCGCTCGTGCTGCTGGGGGTCGGTACTGTACCATGCATCCGAATACTCGTAACATTTTTGTGCTGCCCTGTTTCCCTGTCCATAACAGATGCGGTGATGCGTTGTTTGGAAGCGATGATGAGAAGAGCAAGTTGTGCAGCATGACGGCGTGGTCCATTGTCGCAGGCCACTGGTGGTTGGGTAGCCGCATGCCACATAACAGTTTGCGCATGCTGTTCTGCAAGGTCCTGTTCATTCTTTCTGCTACACCTTGCTGCTGATGGGCGTAGGGAAGGGAGATGAGCCGCTTGATTCCCCTTTCCGCCAGGTACTGCTTGAATCGCTGAGAGGTGTATTCTCCTCCTCCGTCTGACTGGAAGCTTTTCAGTTTCATGCCCGACTCTCTCTCTGCTACTGGTAGCCAGGCAACGAAGGCTGCGAATGCCATGTCGCGGCTAGGGAGGTTTAGGTGCCAGACGTAACGGGTGGCGGCGTCGATGAAGGTGATTGTATAGTTGTATATTACTTGTCCTGGTTCCCGATTGTAGAGGATGTCGCTGTACACCTTCTTGAGTGGTGCGTACGCGGGTGCGCTCGGGTTGTGATGAGACGCAAACGGTCGATGTGGTAAGTCACCTTCAGGGCAGATGAAGCACGTTCCGCGTACTCCTGCAAGTTCTCGTCCGTCGGTCAGTAGGAGTGAGTCCTTGTCGAGTACTTCTGCTCTTATCGTATTGTTTAATACTGTGTTGCTTGGGTGTCCCATCCTTGCTTGCCAGGTGCTTTCGTCGGCGCGATGTCCGGGTGATCGTCGGTACATATCGGAGTTGGAGTAGAAGTTGGCGGTGAAGTTGGCGCTACGATGAACTTCTTGTGGAGCTGGGTGTAGTTGTTGCGCGGGTGTCGGTGGTGTGTTGTCGATGAGGAGCGGTGTCGTTGAAGGACCAGCAATTGGTGTTGACGTTCGTGCTGCTGCCGTTGATGGTTCTGCTACTGCCGATGTTGTCTCTGCTGCTGCCGATGTTGTCTCTGCTGCTGCCGATGTTGTCTCTGCTGCTGCCGATGTTGTTTCTGTTGCTGCTGATGTTGTCCGAATTGTTGCTAACGCCCTTGTTCTTTCTGCTTCAGGGATGGTGTGTGAGTACCAAAAGCCTTCTGGACTGAAGTCTGGATCAAGGTATGGAGGGTGTGTCCAGTTGGTGAAGTCAACGATGGCGTCGCTGTCGGCGGTGCCAAGATCAGGAACGAAATCAAGAACGAAGACGTTGTTCTTGAGGACCACCTTGCCAATGTAAAGTTCTCCTC